TTGAATCAATGTATTGAACAGTAAGTCCAGAGAACGGGGAAGTATTCCCGGCTCTGAAGGCGTTCCCGCAATGGTATACGTCTTGCCCGAAGAGGTGATGCCATACGTGAACAGAAGGCCTTCAAAATAAAGTATGAAATAGTGGTCTAATATGTGACACAAGTGTCAAATGCATACCGTTTTTGCCGTTCACTAAATCGGAGACCAATGGCAACGCTATGTCCGCAAAGATCTCCTTCTGAGACGTGTTTTCGCTGAAGACTTGTTTGAATTTATAGAAGAGTTCATTGCGTTTGTCGGGAGGAGACAAACGAAGTAATGTGTTATTAGTGGCCACGCGATGGACGGCAACCACATCCGCGTAATTGCTAAGAGGTCTCAACCGACAGAACACTTGGACGGGCTCTTTGGCGGACCTGTTCTGAGGGGTGGGTTTGGGTCGAGTGGGAGGCGCCGTCTTCTTCAACGGGGTCTTCGCTGGTCTGCAAACAACACAACAAACGGTTAGCACACTAGCCATGAGTGGTGCACACCATCTCACCTCTCGCGCAGTGGCGGCACCATTGCTGCGATGGTTGGATGAGATGCGAGTGATCAGTGATTCAGATGAAGACTGTGTGAAGACATTGACAATGAGTTGAACACAAATGCAATGAATGGATGAGTCGTTGCTTTCGTTTGAATCGTTGTGTCAATGAATGAATGCTTTGCGCCAATCGTTCACGAGAGTCAACCGACACGAGTGAACAACCAATGAGAGGCACTCTCTTTGCGCGCAAACACATCAATCACGTCCGCATTTAGTGGTTTCGGTTAGATTGTGGGTCAGGGCTTGACTAACAGTGCAAAACTATTGTACAGTCAATTGTTTGAGCAAGGTGTTCATTCTAATTGTTCATTTAAGTATAACTTATAACTTTTAGTAAAACAAAAGTATAACAATTTTAGTAAATAACTTCAAACTAAATAACGATTAATGAAAAACTGACAAAATACTCATATGTCTAAGATTTATAGTATAAGTCTAAAGCCGTTTGAATTATGAATTTGTTTTACTGTAGATATGATATGAATGATAGGATTAAGATATGATTACCCGTACAATTATATTATCATATCAATTAAATATTACTATATTTATAGTTTTTATTTGTATTTATTATATCTATTACATTATACTATGAAAATGTCTTATTTTACTAAGCTTTTAAATACTATTAATGTCATATATCTTAATAAAAATCTTTATAAAAATCTACAATAAAATCATAAAATATTCTAAAATTTAATTATTGTTTAGTTAAATAAATATTATTTAATTTTGCAGTGTATTTCAATGCTTTAAATTGTAATGATTTTAAGTTGAATGTCATATGTATTGCAGTAATGGTTATCATTGGATGTGAATTTGCATGAAATGAAGACTTGAGAGAAATTGGGGCCAAATATAGGATAAGCAGTGATGTGTCGGATATATCGATTCGACCCAAAAATCCCTTCTATTGATAGCATTTGTCCATCGA